TCCAAGGTACTATGAGCCCTATAATGACTAAACTTGCATGGGTGATACATCTTAGGATGCATACTACTAGACTTGCTTCGGATGCTGAATCTGACCTAAATTTTCCGAATGAGTGAACAGGTTAAAGTTTTTGGTGTAGGATTCATTTCCAAGTAACTTTGAGCTCTTTAATAACCAAACTTGCATGGATTATACATCTAAGGTTTCATTCTACCAGGCTGGCATTGGATGCTGAATCTGACCTATATTTTCTGGTATAGTGAAAGGGTTAGATTTTTATACAGGTTTCATTTCCAAGTAACTTTGGAATATATGTTAATGCTACGTTTACACTATGTTCCCGGCAGCCACGGCAGCCCCGTTTGCCTGAAACGTAGTGCGCCGTGAGATTTTGGTTATTTTCCCCTCTATATCCAAGTCTTGACAAGTTCTTTTGCGGTCTTCTACGGTCTTCTACGGAATCCGTGATGGGCCGTAGGAAGAAGTTGCCGTGGAGTGCCGGAAGCTCCACGGCGCACTACGGTTCTGCCACGTATGCCAGCACGTTCCCCCCAGGCCTCTTACGTTCTGATAGGTCCCCTCTCGTTTCTCGCGTTCTTATGAAGTTCTTATACGTTTCTCACGTTCTGTCAAGTCTTTCTACGTATGAAACGTATTGACGCCGGGAAACTATGGATCACGTTTGTGCCAGAGAAGGTCTCCTAACCAGAAACAATCATTGTATCATGACCCTTCGAAGATAAAACTTCATGAATTCCTAAGACGAAGATTTTATTTTCGCGTGTTTGCTGGTTGCATACGTAAAATCACTTTGTCAAAATGAAGAGAACCAGCAGCAGTTACAGAGAGGGACGGCAGGAGTGCAGCAACTAGGAATGAGACGAATAAGACGAATGAAACTTCTCTGCAGTGCCCGGCTTTTATATGCTTCCTCTCAGACCGTGTGCGCCGTGTCAGACCGTAGTAGAACGCAACGCACCGGGACCATAAACCGTAACATGCCGGGACGAACCGCGATTGAACGCGAGGAAACGGCTACCATACACCCTAGTTTGCCGTGAGGACCGTGATGAAACGTGGCAGAACGTGATGAAACGGACAACAACCGTGAACTAGCCTTGACAGAACGCGGACTAAACTCAGCAAAACGTCTCAAAACGTGAATTGACCGTGAGATGAATGGAAATATACATTCTCCCGTCCCACTGCGGACTGCCTCCAAGTTCTGTTACGGTACATTACGTGTTGTTGCGTTTTGTTGCATTTATTCCGTTTTACTACGACCTACTAAGTTTCACATCTGCAACGTGGCCACCGTGGCAAATTTTTTGACAGTTTAAAAATCTGGCACGGCATCCACGGCAATCGCGATGAGTTACGTTTGCCCATCCCGTTCCCCCAAGTTTTCTCACGCCCATCCTGTTTTTTCCACGGTGGCCTGAAACGTGATTGCCGTGGCTGCCGGGAACATAGTGTAAACGTAGCTTTAGCAAACTTGCATGGATGATACATCTTAAGATGCACACTAATGGACTTGCTTAAGATGCTGAATTCATTGTACATTTTTCAGATAATGGACCTTGTAAAAGTTATGGGTGCCGGTCTAAGAAACTATAAGGTTTATATAAACCAAACTTGCAAAAACTGATGCTTCAAGGGATAAAAACTCTCAAACTTGCTTCAGATGCTGGATTTTAATAATGTTTTCATGATTATGAAATAGTTTTAAGTTTTTATATAGGTCTATTCCATAGTATCAAATCAAAATTGCATAAATTTTGCTTTATTGGATGTACACATTTTGTTGGTTAATAAAAATGTGTGACTGCCTTACTTAAAGACAAAATTTGTTGAGGTGAGCTCTGTAATCTCTGATTACCTATGTTTATATTTTGGTAAAAACATGTTTCATTTTCATATGTTGTATTTTTTTCTTGTAAAAACTGCTTACTAATTCAATTCGTAAGCTGGTGAGAATGAATAATTATTCATCTTTTATTAATTATAAATTAAAAAAATACATAAATTTAAAACAAATGTCAAACCTAATTTTTGTTTTCTTTTATCAGAAACGAGAAGAGGGTTGGTGGGTAGTGATTGGAGACAACAAATCTAACTCCCTCCTATCCATCAGAAGATTGACCTTGCAGCAGAAGGCCAAGGTCAAACTGGACTTTGTGGCCCCTTCCCCTGGTCACTATAACTACACCATCTTCTTTATGAGTGATGCTTACATGGGGTGTGACCAGGAATACAAGTTCAGCATCGATGTGAAGGAAGGAGATAGTGAAAGTGAAAGTGATAGCGATTAGATCAGCTGATTAAGAAAGTGAAAGTAACAATTGTGGTGTAGGAAAAATGAGGGAATAATAAAAGTAATAAACAATTTACAGAATAGGAAAATAGAGCAAGGATTCTTTGACATTTTTAAAATGATTTGAGAATTGAAAAGAATGTAGAGTTTTGAGATTGGATCATGATCATTATCAGCAACTATTTACTTTTGTTGCCTGTAATATTATGATGGTTTTGTATATTATTACATGGTACGTATTTCCTTTTTAGCAGTCATTGTCACCATTTTCAGTTTAAATTTTTTTAATATTGTTAGAGACTTTTGAAGCCTCCTATAGAATTTACATGCACAGTAAATTAATATGAATTTAATTATATTGTATTTCAATATCTTATAATAAAGAAAACAATGGTATTTTGATAGACATATCAAATATTTCTTGCCATTTTTTTCAACACCAAGTACATGACTGTATTATTTGATCAATAAGTAATGAAACAAAAGAAATTGAAAATGTTCACGCTTTTCAGGGATAACCCAAGTGCATTAATCATTTGATCATAATATAGTATTCATTAAAGACCCAATTTTTTTACCGTACGTTTACCTGAGGAGGGGGAGTGGTCCAAGAAACAGTGGTGTTATTTACCTGGAGACCCCCAATAACCAAGATGTCAAAAATCTATATACACGAAGCATTACACAGGAAGTCTGTATCTGGTGATCAGGGTCAACATTCCGTGTTTCATGTCTAAATTTGAGTGAAACTACTTGAAATAATTGAAATATAAAATTTATTTATAAATACTTTCAGCGATATCTAGTGAAGAAAAAAAATCATAAAGAAATATCGTTTTTATATTTAATGACAAATTAAAGAAAAGAACACAGAGTAAAACTACAAAGTAAACATATCTTTTTTTAATTAAACTTGTGTAAATATCAAAATAAAAAAAAAACAAACAATAAAATATTCCATTCATAGGTAGGCCTATTCGTGGTGTGAACATGTACAATGTACCGTACCGCGATAGGAATATTGCCTACGTTCTGATCAACAATAGCGTAGAAAATATTCAACATTTCTGGGTGTTCGTGTGTTTAAAATTATTTATAATTATTGTTTGCAAGATTTCTTTTATACTTTTAAGAATTGATCTTTGGCTGTATATATTCACTTTTTAATTTCGAATATTGGGTATTGACAGATGTTAGGAAATTCGAACTAAAAGTTGCAATTTCGAAACTCCTAGCTGTTTCTTACATTTCAGAACTTTACAACGGAACATGGTATAGATTGCATTTTATTCATATATACGTAGATAAAACATAGGATAAATGAAATATCTTTTCTTATTTATCATATTCCAATTTTAATCGGCAAATAGCGTTTCTGTGTACGGACTGGTCTAAATTCTACAGCAGATATCTTGGACGACATATCGCCTAAAATACAATATAGCTGTTGAGATTAAAAGCAAATATTTTATGAAGTCATGTTTAATTATCTACTCTCAATTGTTTTTAAAATAACCTTTTACCAAGATTCTTTTTTTAACCCCCACAAGGCGGCTACATGAAAGTGTTTGACGCGTGATCAGGCAATCGTTTTCAAAGGACACAAACTCAGACTATCAGGTAGCACGGGTAGCTGGCCTGTTAATCAAATCAGAAGCTATTGTTTTTTTAATGATTGACAGGCGGTAAATTATTGATCTTGAATTAGGTAGATTTGGGGGGCGTTAACATAAAATTGGGTGTTTAAATGAGTGATACAAATCTATGAAGGCTTATATTTTCATGTTTTACATGGAACCAAAGGAAATTACCTGAGGGTAAATTCATTGACAAAAAAATGAGGAGTTTGATTACAATTTTATTCACATGATAACACAAAGTTACATGAAAATATGCATTTGCCAAAAGTGTATATTGTTTACAAACAATAACTTCCCTGAAGAAAAATTCAAGCACAATAAGATACAAGTGTGATATGATGATAATGAAATTGTTGAAATCAAAGTAATAGTCAATGAAATATTCTCCTGGGCTTACAACCAAAAATAAAACTTCAATAATTAACATGCTATAGAGGGGATAATTTAAGTTAATAGGAACATACAGGTAATAGTAATATATGGGAAAACTTAAAATGCAGGCATCATAATCATGATAATAATTACTTTAATTTGTTTCATTTGGAGAATCTTGGATGTCTGTGTTAAGGGAATAAATTCTGAAATATGTAGCAAGTCGTTATATACAGTTGTAATGCATTCTGTATGAAGTAATAAATTAATCTGTTTAGGTAATGTTTTAATCATGATATACATAATTTGTTCTTTTGGTCTATGAATGCAAAAAAAATCTATCTTGATCTGATTGACCTTGCAGCAGAAGGTGAAGGTCACAATAACCTTGGCTTGTTCAACTGAGGGAAAGCATCATTGTATGTTAATGATGTAGAAATGTAAATTCACAGTTAATGAATCTGTGAATGTTATGAATCTAATTTTTATATATATATATATATATATATATATATATATATATATATATATATATATATATATATATATATATATATATATATATATATATATAGGAAACTATATTTTGATAATTCTTCATGAAGAACATATATGTATTTCATAAAGCAATAATATTTCATATTCATTTGATAAATTTGATAATATTTTGCACTTCATACAATTTGCCATTTGTACTGAAACACTTTGACATTTCCTTCCCAGTATCCCACCCACAGTCTAGACTTGTATAGAGACAGAGAGTATGGACTATCCACTTCATTGTCTGTCAGTAAGAACTTCAGGAACTCCCCGCCAGGACTCAGTAGATGGATCTGTTTGTTGTTACAGTCAGCAACAAGGATGTTACAGAGGGAGTCACACACTACATCAGTTGGATTAAAGTTCTTTGTCAGGCTCTGTCCACGGTAGACAGACTTCGTACAACCAGAGGGAGACAAAATCACTAGTTCACCTGTAGTTTCACTAGTACTGTTCGCAACACAGATATCACTGTTACTGTTCTGTGTGACTCTGTATGGTAATGTAAACAGTCTGGTCTGACCGTCCTCCTGGTACTCATACTCACGGATGACATCACCAGTCAATGTCATGTGTCTCACCAGACGTCTGCTGTGTGACTCTAATTTGTGAGGATCTGATTTTGTGTCTCTCAAGGTGACCAGTAGTCCACCGTCCACTGACTGACATATTCCTTCTGGTAGCAGTGGATCTGCACTGATGACTGTAGTGACAGATCCTGATGGTGATAGACAGCTGATGGACTTGTTTCTGACGTCAGTGAAATAAACATCACCAGTAACAGTCACACACATGTCATTAGGAAGAATATTAAACTTATGTTTTCTTATGCCTTGCTGATTGACTTTTTCTACATATTTAGATAGGTATTCATTAATGTAACATTGATCTTCACTGAATGTCTCAAGAGCACATATTCCTTTATCACCATATTGAAATGAGTTTTTTATGGTCACACCAATATCATCTAAATCTAAAGTTTTTCCAACCACAGAATTAAGTAAGTCATCATTGATTTTACCTCTAATGAACCTCACTGAATGTTCACCATTCGTTATTTGAACCTCCAATTCATACAACATTTTTGTCAGTTCTCTGTGGTTGTCAATCAAGCTGTAATCAGACATGGTGCTGTTGTTCTCCTCCATGAATTTTAATGTGTCAACAATTCTTCTCTTCTTCTTGTCTAACTCAGATTTCACAAGATTCAACTGATCATTCTTTTTAACTAAATCGTCTCTCAGCGTTTTTTCATGGCGTGTTTTGATTTCTGTTAGCCTGGTTATTATCTCATTACAATGCTTCTGTAGCTCTTTAACCTCGGAATCACACAGTTCTTTATTTTCAGTGATCTGCTTTGAAATTTTCTCTTTCTTCAAATCAATTCCAGGTAGATCCTCTTCCTTGATCTTCTTCAGAAATTTAATCAGACCTCTCTTCCTTTCAGTGGCTGCCATGGTTAGAGTTTTCCAGTTATGATCTTTATGATCTGTTTTGGCACATTTACCACAAATAAATTCATCACAGTCCTCACATATAATATCAATGGGTAATTCATGGGATTCACACATTTCAATATGCCCTATAGGAGACCCCAGTGGATATTCTTTTTCATTTGCAGCCATGTTTGTCGGGTATTGACTACCAGTGTCCTAGATTACAGTGCGCATGTTAGATAACCATAAGGCACATGCACGGATGCATATAAGGATTTAAACAGGTACTTTAAATTTATTCAATATGACACCTGTTTATGCAATGAAATGTACAGGTGTATACTAAAACATGTCATTTTAAGTAGAAAATTTCATAAAAAGATTGTTTCTTTGTTCAATTTTTTCGAATATGACTAGAAAGTCACTTCTTAAATAGTGTGAAAAGTCTTGTAAGCAATTGTTTTCATTGGAAAAAGGGGGTATGCTTCTCTGTACAACCTATTCACAATGGTGTAACAGATTCTAAGTATCTTAGACCTTTGATGATACATAGGCATTTTGCCTGGTCTTTTACTTGTTAATAAAGTCAGTAAAATAAACATCACTGTTATCAGTCACACACATGTCATTAGTAGAGGAGACACTAAATCTTTGTATTTTTGCACCTTCTACGTGTACTTTGTAAAAGACCAGGCAAAATGCCCATGTATCATCAAAGTATCTAGATACTTAGAATCCGTAACACCATTGTGAATAGGTTGTACAGAGAAGCATACCCCCTTTTTCCAATGAAAACAATTGCTAACAAGACTTTTCACACTATTAAGTACACCAAAGAACACACCAAGTACACTACTATGGGCCCTATGATGACCAAACTTGCATGGATGATACATCTAAGGATGCTTACTAATGGACTTGCTCCGGATGCTGAATTCAACATACATTTTCCAGATAATAAACCAGGTAAAAGTTATGGGTGCAGGTCTGTCATCAAGAATGTACAAGGCCTATATTAACCAAACTTGCACAAATGATGTATCAAAGGATGAATGCTCTCAAACTTGCTTCAGATGCTGGATTTGAGTTACATTTTCTTGATGAATGTGAAGTTTTTGGATAGGTCTATTCCAAAGTAATAGAAAACCTTTTCAGATCAAAAGTCTATAAATTTTGCATTTTTGGATGTACACTTAGAATATTGGTTAATTGTGTGACTGCATTACTTAAAGGCAGCATTTGTTGAGGTAGCTCCATAATCTCTGATTAACTACATGTATATATGTTAAGTTTTATTTTAAACGATGAGAAAACGATTTGCAGCCCAACCGTAGTATTAATATTTTGCTGTTGTATGAGAAACATGAAGCTTTTTAACTAAAATAAACATATGAGAGTCTCCAAAAATGTTTCTTTGGGATAGAGGGAATCTTGAGACCAATTTAAGGCTTACAGCGCTGAAAGATTAGAAAATAAAATGACGGACAAAGTAATTGGTAAACTTCTTTGATATAGGTCTATATATTTTGAATCTCATTCTGTAAATGGTTTTAACATAAAATTTAAAGGAACAGTACACCTCAGATTTAACTGATGAAATTATAGTACCGATCGAGCGAACTATTATTTAAGGAACTCGAAATAGAAAACAGTAATTTAAATGTCAGAAAGCAAACACGAATTTGAAGAAGGAAAAGAGGAACTAACCGGCATCGATACATGACACGTACGGTTAAGGATATTTAGTCGTACATGGCGTACAATATATATGCAGAACATCGCTTTAAATTATGATATCATTATAAACACAACCATTCAAGTAGACATTGCTAATTGGAATGAAGTTTTGTTCTTTTTGTTTCATCAAAGTTAAAACAAGAATCAAAACTTTTAATTTTAAAGGTTCAGGTTTGGATTGAAAGATTGATTGATTGATTTTATATTGTTTAACGCCGAGTCAGCAATATTTCAGCCATATTTCGGCGGGGGATTGAAAGATAAACAGAATTTTATTTTTGAACGAAAAGAAATTCTATAAAAATTATCAAATCTATATCTTAAATAAAAAAGACAAGTATATACATTCCCCTGAAACAGCTTCCTCACGTACGTTGCCCCTGAGCTTATAAAGAAATATCAGAAAATGGTGAAAATCTACTATATAATTATTGAGATTACGTCTCCTGTCCCTCTTTAAACTTTTTTGATTTTGCTCACACCTCCATGGCACCTGATTCCATCTCTGGTGTTTTGGAGGTCTGTGTTTGCTCTGCTCCTATTTTGTATTGTTTTTATGGACTTTGATATTGAATCATGTTCGTTATCTCCATATCCTTCACCAATTTCAATTTTTGTGTTCCCTAGCACACTAAATTGTAATATTGAACATTATAAATGTAATTCAGAGAAGACATAATAAAAACCCCCAACTTGCTTGAAGGTGAGAGAAGAAAATCTGAACAATCAAGTTCATTTTACCAAGTAAAGGAGTACACTCTATACATGTACAACTTGTTACAAGCTGAACACAATGCATGCACTAACAGAAGAGAAAAACGACTGCTATTTTGATGAGTATTTGAACATTTTTATCATGTTTTACACCAGCATGTCTAAGGAGATTGACGATATGATTAACCATTATCTATCTATTTTCAGTGGTTCCCCAGTCAATTTACTGGTGTCACTAGAGAGAGAAGATGAATTAGTGGGACCAGTGGTGGCCCCATTCTTTCCTCAGGTGAGTAGTTGAAAGCACACGTTTTCATACATTGCAAAATCCAATTCTAGAATTAAAAAAAAAAACAACTGTTTATTCAATCATAACATGATAAACTAGTTGCCTGAAGAATTCTATATTTTTTATATACTTTGAAATTCCAAAATTTATTCTTACTAGTATTTGTTTTCTCTTATCAGAAACGAGAGGAGGGTTAGTGGGTACTGATTGGAAAGAACAAATCTAACTCCCAACTGTCCATCAGAAGATTGACCTTGCAATAGAAGGCCAAGGTCAAACTGGACTTTGTGGCGCCTTCCCCTGGTCACTATAACTACACCATCTTCTTTATAAGTGACGCTTACATAGGGTGTGACCAGGAATACAAGTTCAGTATTGATGTGAAAGAAGGAGATAGTGAAAGTGAAAGTGACAGTGATTATATCAGGTGATTGGAAAGAAAAAATAATGATGTGATGGAGGAAAAATGAGAAATAAATACACATAAAAACCATAGTACAAAATAGAAAAGTGAAGCAATGATTCTTTAAAAGTAATAAAATGATTAAGAGGATTGTATAGAAATAGAGTCTTGTGATGGAAAATCATGATGGTGATTTCAGATCTGTTAGCTACATGAGACTAGCTAAAATTAAAAACTTGTTTTTGAACGTTGTCTATATGTTTTGGTTTTGTATATTATGTATTTCTTTGACAGTCATTTTCACCATTGTCAGTGAAAGTCAAAATATTTTTAACATTTGTTAGAGACTTTTAAAACCTCCCATTAGAATGACCATGTATAGTAAATGGGTATGATTTTTTTAAAAAAAAATCATTATTATTTTCACAAAAGAAGCAATGGTATTTTGACAGTTTATCATATTTAACATGTCTCTCATTATTTCAAAAACAAAGTTTAAAGAGTACATGCATCTTGTCATTTGATCATTATCTCAGATTCTAATAAAAGAGTGATATAATCAATATGAGCTTGAATTTTCTCATGTTTTAAATTGAAGCAAAGCCTGACATGGTTATTTCTTGGACAAGAAATGAGAATTTACACATGCAAATTTGAAATAAAACTACATAAGTTGTCTGTAACTTTTTGAAAGTAAATGGAAAATTGCCCAATAAAAGGATAATCACGTTTTAAAAACTATCGGAGACCACGTAGACCTGTTAAACATACCAAAAGAGATAGAAGATTCACATTCTCAAATGTTTTAATATATATACATGCTGCAAACTTCTGAATGATTAATTATTTTTGAATTTTTAAAAACATAGTTCGATGCACACTGTTTGGATGTATTCTGCATAATTATTGAATTTAAACTGTATACTTATTAGATAATGTTTTAATCAAGATTCAAAATAAAATCATTTGTTCCTTTGTTAGGTGGATTGTTAAGAAAATTATATTTTAATATATGATTGCATTTCTTTGAAGGAAACAACAACTGTAAATTTCATAATTATGTGATCAGTGATTAAATATATATACAATTGATAAAGAAATCGTATATTACATAAACCTCATTTATTTTAACACATACACAAATAATAAATCTTAGAATTTTTAAATTTTGATGGATAATAAAATATGCAGACTCTGTATATACATGTATCAATTTATTTACATTTTGATGATTTTTGACGAAGAATATATTTCATGATACTTTTTTTACTGTGTAATGTCATGTTAATGAATTGAATCAATGATCATGCAATTAGAGATTGTTCTATCTGACGTATCCGTATCGTATACGTATCCGTATCCGTATCGAGATATGAAAGGCATCTCGATCCCGATGTCTAAACAATCTGGTTACATTTCCATCGTTTCATGTTTGATTTTTAACCTCATTCACTAAAAAATGATATGTAGTGTGTTTTTTTTTAATAAAAAACATATCAGTTGCTGTACACGCCTTATGCATCATGTTTTGGGGGGAGAAGGGGAGGGGGTAAAAGTTTAAAAATAAAATTAGAAAAACAAGCATGATTTGAATTATTTCAATATGTAGAAAATTATTCGAAAATCTCTCTCTCTCTCTCTCTCTTAGGGTATTCATTCTTCATTCTAAAATTAACATTAATATTTACAAGAATTTTACACGACATATCCCCAAAAATATATAATTATAATATACAGTTAAACCTCTTTATCTCAAACTTGTAAATTAATTGTAAAAACATGTAATTGTACATTAACTGGGAAAGATTTCACCATATTGCAAAACAATATGTGTATGGGGGATTTACTGAAAACTTCAATCCTCTTTTTCTTATTTTATCATCTTCTATGCCATTAATTATAACGTATTGATGGTAATAGTTCTCCAGAAAAAAATTGGATAGCTGGTAATTCTGGGGCGGTTTAAATACACTCCCTAAATTGTAGGTCGATAGCCGTATCATGGGCGGCGCAGGCAAAAAGGGGGGGGGGGGGTTAATTGAAAGGGGGGGGGTAAACCAACAAAAAAAGTAAACCCCACTTTTAAATGCATATATTGTGTCTAATGTCTATCTTTGCAAGAAATGGGGGGAGGGGGGCTTAAGCCCCCCCCCCCCCCCCCCCGATTCTGACGCCTATGCGTATCCAGGGTTTCAAGGAGCTTGAGAATTGATTATGTACAATTTCCGACAGTGTTGCGATTAAACGCAGTATATTAACACTTGTCGATGAAGGGGGAGAAAATTAAATGTTTGGTTACGATATGTATCTTCCTTTCTTAAACTATTCTATTTGCATATTAACTTCTTTTTATGAAAGTTACATGATCGAGTTTATAGTAAACAAAGCAAGCTCTGAAAAACTTTGATATATGTATTTCATCACTGTAATTTTTCTTTTAATGCGTGATTTTTTTCTTTGCTACATTGAAGCAGTTCCTTCTCTTCACTGTGCACAATGATCTCGATCTCGGCCAAATTATACATATAAATAAAAAAGAAAGTCGGATAAAAAAGAGAAGAAAATTAGTACGATGGACAAGTAGACTTAGCAAAATAAGATGTATTATTTTGAAAATTCTGAGCCATATTAATTTTGATCTTAGCATAAAAAAAAAGATTTGAGATTATATTTTTTGAATACCCTATTCCGAAATTACGAAATAGTTTTTATATCGAATCACAAATGATTAATGAATGATAGTCAAAAGATTTTATCAAATGTCGTGTGTGCACATTGTGAGGCACAGACGCCGGCACTGGGGGGGGGGGGGGGGCTGGGGGCGTAGGATAAGCTCCCTTTCCACTTTCAAAAGGCATGTTGTATTGCAGTCAAAGAATAGTAAGTGGTAGTAAAAAAAGAGTTCGACCCCCTCTCCCGCCCACACACACACAAAATAGTGTTTACGTCCTTTTTTTTTGCATGTCAGGGTTTTTCAGGACTTATATTTTTCTCTTTCAATTAGCCCCCTCCCTCCCTACTTTCAATTTGCTAAATGTGAGGGGAGGTGAAACGAGGGAGTTGGACAGGCTCTTCAATGCATATACTCAATACTTGTAACGGTCCTGAAGCGAATTATGAAATCAGTTTGAATAGTCTCTTTAAAAACGGCTACAGTGTTTTATCAATCGCGTTGATGATAACGTATTTTGTATTTCAGTGTGTGTGAGGGGGGGGGGGTATACCGTTATACCGCGTAAAGGTATATGACAAATTCAGAATATCCTGAAAAAGAGAAAGGAGATTTCCTACAAATATTTTGAAACAAAATGAATTTAATTTTAAAACAAAATAGTTAAAATGAAATATTTTATACTTGAATTTATTTATTCATTTTCTTTTTTTTAATAATATTTTTCTACGAAATGATAGAGGTTTACAGCAGTTTAGTATTTTTAATGGAAAAATTGCCATTTGCTATTTTCCGATGCATGACTGTGGCTTATTTAACCACAAACAGAAACGGAAATTGTATTAAATGGTTGAAACATCGGGATCGAGATGCCTTTCATATCTCGATACGGATACGGATACGTATACGGATACGGATACGTCAGATAGAACAATCTCTATTATCACATTAATTCTACATTGTGTACTGAAACACTTTGACAAGTCCCTCATAGTATCCCACCCACAGCGTAGACTTGTAGAGTGATAATCTGTATGGATGGTACACTTCTTTGTCTGTTAGTAAAAACTTTAGGAACTCCCCGTCAGGACTCAGCAGATGGATCTGTTTGTTGTCAATGTCAGTAACAAGAATGTTACAGAGGGAGTCACACACTACATCATTTAGATTAAAGTCCTCTGTCAGGTTCTGTCCGAGGTTGACAAACTTTATATGACCAGAGGGAGACATAATCACCAGTTCACCTGTTTTATCACTTGTATCGTTCACAACACAGATATCTCTGTTACTGTTCTGTTTGATTCTATCAGGGAATGTAAACAGTCTGGTCTGACTGTCCTCCTGGTACTCATACTCATGGATGACTTCACCTGTCACTGTGATGTGTCTCACCAGACGTCTGCTGTGTGACTCTAATTTGTCAGGATTTGATTCTTTGTCTGCCAAGTATACCAGAAGTCCACCATCCACAGACTGACAGATTCCTATTGGGAACAGTGGATCTGCATTAATGACAGTAGACACAGATCCTGATGGTGACAGACAACTGATGGACTTATTACTTAAGTCAGTAAAATAAACATCACAGTTATCAGTCACACACATGTCATTTGTGAAAATACTAAATCTATGCTCTTTTATGTCTTCCATGTTTACTTTTTCTATATACTCAGATTCATATCCATTTATGTAGCATAGATCTTCACTGAACGTCTCCAAAGCATATATTGCCTTATCACCATATTGAAATGAGTTTTTCAAAGTCACACGAATATCATCTAAATCCCAAGCTTTTCCAACCACAGAATTAAGAAATTCGTCATTAATCACACCTCTTGTGAACCTGACTGATAGTTTACAGTTTGTGGTATGGACCTCAAATTCAGACATCATTTTCCTCAGTTCTCTGTGGTTGTCAATCAAGCTGTAATCTGACATGGTGCTGCTGTTCACCTCCATGAATTCCACTGTGTCAACAATTCCTTTTTGCTTCCTCTCTAACTTAGTTATCAGATCCTTCAGTTGATCATTCTTTTTAATTAAATTGTCTCTTATTGTTTGTTCATGACATTTTCTGATTTCTGTCAGCCTGGTCATTATCTCTTCACAATGCTGCTGTAGCTTTTTAATCTCGGAGTCACATAGGTTTTTATTTTCTATGTTTTGTTTAGACACCTTCTCCATCTTCTCTGCAATCCCAGGCAGATCCTTTTCCTCGATCTTCTTCAGAAATGAAAGTAGACTTCTCCTCCTTTGGGTGGCTGCTGTGGTCAGAGTTTTCCATTCATGATCTCTATGATCTGTTTTAGCACACTTGGCACAAATAAATTCATCACATTCCTCACATATCATATCAATAGGTAATCCATGGGATTTACACGTTTCATTATGCTTTAGAGGAGAACCCAGTGAATATTCTTTTTCAATTTTAGCCATGTTTGTCGGTGTTGCCTACCTGTGCCCTAGATTTTAGTGCGCATGTTAGATAACCATGCATAAGGAACACTTTAATGGATTTGAGGATTTTAAAGACAGACTTTAAATTTCTCCAATACGACACTTCTATCTATATACTAGTATGTAATAAAATGTAACTAAATATTTGATAATCATTCTAAGTAGAAAAAGAGAAAATTATGTTTTTGAAGTACAATTTTTTTTAAAATGGTGAGAAATAAATTACTCAAATACACTGTAATATAAAATGTCATGTTGGTCATTATCATTATTTTAAAATGTAGATAGAGAAAAATAGAATTTTAAAATATTTCCCTCTGTACCCCATAATGCACCTCGTCAGTTATTTTGAAAAAATATAATAGGGATGCTTCTCTGATCATCGTAAACTCTAAAGCACTCAAACAACTTTGACCTCTACAGATAAATGAACACGTACCCCTAGAATCATCCCTCATGTAGATGGCAAGTTTGGGACTAAACAGCCAATATTCCATATTAATAACACTAATATGAGAATAGTCTCTCTATACAAGAAAATTAGTAACATTTTTTTCTTTTTACCCTTTTTGCACTTGATTGTCCTTAAAAAATGAACCCAGTTCGGCGATTTTTATCTATATGTTAATAAATAACACTGTTTCTAGGCGAGTTCAACATGGTGTGAAATTGCTCAGCTACGGAGCGAATATTACAATGTATTTTAACTGACTGATTTTTATCTTTTTAATTTAACCCCTTTTATAAAGACCCAGCTCACGCCCATTTTCTGTAGCAATTTTTGAAATTAAAAAAATAAAATGTTTACGCATAGTAATGTTAAAGATATAGTTTTGCAAGTATGGAGACTGGATGGAAATGAAATGAAGGTAATAAGAACAAAGTAGAAGACCTTAATTAACATGATCAGAGACATGCATGAAGCATAAGAACTCAAACATGTTAAGGAGTTTTCAGAAATGTTTCTTTAGTAAAGAGTAAATCTTGATCAAATTGTAGACCTTCAGCGCTGAAAATTTTGAAATTAAAAATTGTATTAAAAAAATTAGTGATTTTGTTTGATATTACTCGATCGCTAGTTTTGAATCTTATTCTTCATGATGAATGCTGTTCATATTTTGAAATCCAAAGGAACACTTCGCTACACGCATGACTGATGAAAAAGGTTAAGGAAGCTAAAAATAAAAGGGCAATTTAGGACAGACGAGACGTTCCTTAATAATAGATAATTTTTGCTTAGAGTTTGTCATTGAAGTATTGCTACTTAAACATGTTAAGTCACAAAAAATGAGGTACCTTAAGCTTTCCAGGCATTTCTGCAAGATACCAGGGGTAGTTTTTCTTATATAATCCTTTGGGGAAGAAAAATATTTTTCCAATTTCAAATATTTGGCTTTTTAAAAAACGTTTAGAAACTGGTTTAGAAATAAGAATGTTATGAAAATTTTGAATATTTTTCATACATTACGAGGATACTAGTATACAAAACAGATTTTGAGGAGCGTCTCGTCTGACCTTAAATACCAGTGAACATAAATTTGAAGAAAGAAAAGAGAAACCAAAGCGTATCGTTTGCATGGTCAAAGATATTTTTGTTGAACACGGAAAATGTTTGCATCTATCGTACATTGTATAATCACATAAAAGAAGTTGCCCGCGTGGCGCAGTGGTTAGAACGTCTGCTGTAGAGTCGGTAAGTAAGGAGTTGATCCTTACGTCGCCGGTTTGAATCCCACTGTGGGACGTGGAGACCGCACCTTTGGATAAGACCGTATAAGCCGAGGTCTAGTGTGGCAGTAAGTGCTGACAAGAAAAGGATCCCTCACTGCTCAATGGCCAGAAATACTGAATAAAGGAAATTTTGCATCTATTGACCGAAAACGGATGCAGTCTCCATTTGAGTGAAAAATTCATTAGACGGACCTTAAACAAACAAACAGATACATAAATTACAAAAATATATATGACTTTTAATAAACAGACATTAAAAATATACATTGTTAATTGGAATGAAGTTTTGTTCTTCTGTATCATCAAAGTTTCGCCAAGATATAAAACTTCCAAAGTCAAAATTTGAATTAAAAGATGGAAGGACACCCAACCTGTATTTTCTAACAAAGAAAAATAAAAATAACATATTCTAAAAAAAAAAAAATAAGAAGAAAATGAACATACAAATTCCCCCGACACATCCCCTTCATTTTATCTCGTACCTGTAAACATTATAAAAGTAGCTCGGATAAGAGAAAAATATTTTTGATAAATTTTCAACTACTTTGAAGGTGAAAGAGAAAAATGTAAACAATTCATTTCCTTTTATTATTAATCAGGAGTTTTGTTTTTTTTTAAGAAGAGATCATCTTTGATGTGATGGAGATGAAGGACGATAATAGAAATGAACTCAAAAGATATTCTTTTCAGCCTTGTTTGTCTGAGATAAAGCGGAAACCTTGACAAACATGTAGACGAACCGCGAAGATAGTTTTTAAAATAAAATCCCATACAAATAATTGGTGAACTTGATTGACGTAGCTGTCTAGTTGATACTGTATACAGGGTTATTTTCGCCCCGTGTTAATTTCGCCCTTTGTTACTTGCAAACAATTTAGCACCGCTTTTTATTCGCCCAGACATAATTTTGTTTAAGAAATTATACTATATTCTTTGAATTCGCCCCGTTTTAAATTCGCCCAATTGAAGTAAGGGGGAAAGGGGCGAAAATAAAACAGGGGTGAAAATTTCCCTGTATACAGTATTTCGTTCTTTGTAAGTAACGGTTTTTTAAATCAAAATTTTAAACCCAAAGAAACAGTGCTCCTCACACATGACTGGTGAAAAAGTAAGCGATAAATTATTAAAGGAGCTCAAAATAGAAAAACGGAACAATTTAAATACCAGATAGCAAGAAAATCGGAACTATCGGGTATAGATTACCCGTTCATATTCATTAAAATACATTTAAAATTACATTCAAGGATACTTTTGCTCCACTTGCCATACATGTTTGCAGAATTAAATTAAAAAATTAGATGAAAATCTAAATTATAATTACATCATAAACATATATTCTTAACAGGAAATACAAACATTCACGTATACATTGTAAGTGGAATGAAATTTTGTTCTTTCTGTACCATAAAAGTTTTAGCGGTTTACAATCACCCCATTTTTGTCATTACTAGCACATTACAATATAAAATCTTAAACATTATAAAAACAAATCAGAGAAATTTTTTCAATATAAATTTTCAACTTATTTGAAGACAAGAGAGGAAACAACCCAATCTATTTAGGCATTTGCAAGTGTTCCTCCAAGTGCTTTTGATGAATTAGTAGGACCAGTGGTGGCACCATTATTTGCCCTGGTGGATTTTGAAAGTACTTGTTTTCATATACCGTTTCATATGTAATACAATTGCTGTCTGAAATCCTTTCTTTTATGACGGACTTGGAGATACCAAATCATACTAGTATTTCTTTTTTTTCATCATAAACGAGAGGAGGGCTGGTGGATTATAAGTGATTGGATACCACAAATCTAACTGACCTTGCAGCAGAAGGCCAAGGTCACACTGGACTTTGTGGCCCCTTCCCCTGGTCACTATAACTACACCATCTTCTTTATGTACATGGGGTGTGACCATGAATACAAGTTCAGCATCGACGTGAAGGAGCGAAATTGTGAAAATGACAGCTGATCTGAAAGTGAAAGTAATAATGTGATGGAGGAAAAATGAGGAATAAATATGTGTTAAAAGAATGGATAGAATACTGACTCAATAGGAAAGTGAAGCAAGAATTCTTTAAAATTTGTAATATGATTAGAGGATTAAAAAAAAACCCCGTTGAGTTCTGAGATGGAATGATGATGATAATGTATAAGCTACAAAGTATTGACTAATATCAACAGCTATTTTTGGATTGGTGTTCCATATAATTGTTTTGTATATTATATTACGTATTTCATTCATTGTTATTGTCATCATTTTTCAGTTAAACGATAATATATTATTAAAGGAGTTTAACATTGTTAGAGACTTTTAAAACCTCCCATAGAATTTAAATGCAAAGTAAATTGGTATGAATTTAATTCTCTTACATTTCATTATCATCTTAAAAGAAGCATTGGTATTTTGATATTCATTTTAAATATTTATTATCATAATTTTCAACACCAAGTGCATGCATTTTTTGATCGCAAACCTAGTTTCCATTAAATGAGTGATACACATCTATGAGAGCTCATATTTTCATATTTTAAATCGGACCAAAGCAAATAAAGGTAAATTCTCTGACGAGAAACAAGAAACTGAATTATGTTTTAGTACCTTGATTACACAGCGTCAGATAAGCACATTGTATATGCCATAAGTGTACAGCAAAACTCGTTTAGTGTGAACACGGATATTGCAAATTTACGGATACAGCGAATTCATCTTGGATCTCCAGATATATAAATTTAGTGACTTTCTTATACGGTTATAACGATTTACGGATATAGCGAAGTAATTTCACAGGCCCCAGTGACTTCGTTATACCCGAGTTTTACTGTATTTTGTTTAGAAACATATATTGCTGATAGAATTACTAGTACATATAGGAAACTTAAAATTCAGGCAAAATGGTGCTTGATTAAATTGAAGGTTAAAATGGCCTTGTCTTGTATAACATAGGGAAAAAATCACTGTATGTATATGATATAGAAATATTAATTCACAGTTACATGTAATAAATCGGTGAATGTTGTGATTTATTGATTTTGGAAACAAAAGATATAAATTTCATTATGCATTACCATAAGAAATTAAGCTCCATTTTGAGATTTTTTTTATAAAGATCTTACATGTTTCATAAAGCGGATGCATGTCATAATGATGAATTTGATAATATTTATGCATGTCATATATTTTGCTATTTGTACTGAAACACTTTGAGAAGTCCTTCATCGTATCCCACCCACAATGTAGATTTGTATAGTG